GGAAAATTGCACTTTGTTTTGTTCAGAACTTTATCAAGAGTAGTTCACCATTTAGTAAAATCACATCTAAAACACTGCCTTGTGTAGTATCTAAGTAGCTAACACACTGTATCAGCCTACAGTTGAACCTGTTCCACTTAAGGTGATTTTACAGTGAGGCGCATGCTGTGACTTTTGCATTACGCTTTTTAGGATCATTGTGAACAAGCACTTATGAAATAAAAATTAAATTAGTTTTATTTTATTGCTCCTTACTGTTACAACTAGAGCATTATGTCATTTTTGTTAGTGAAGCATAGTCGACACACAGTGTCACATTAGTTTCAGGTGTACAAAACAGTGATTTGACAACTCTGTACATTATGCTATGCTCAAATGTGCAGCTACCATAGGCCACCATAAACCGCTATTACAATACCAATGACTATGCTGTATTTTTCATCCTTGTAACTTATTCTTTCCATAACTGGAAGCCTGTACTTCCCATTCCCCTTCACTCATGTTACCCATCCCTCATTTCCCTTCCCTCTGGCAACCATCAGTTTGTTCTCTGTATTTATGGGTATTTCTGTTTTTGTTTATTCATTTGTTTTGTTTTTTAGATTCCACATATAAAGGAAATCATTTGGTAATTGTCTTTGTCTGACTTATTTCACTTAGCATATAATACCCTTTCGGTCCATCCACGTAGTCACAAACATTAGGTTGTTTTTTAAAAAAACATTTTTTTCTATAGATTGCATGAACTGTGAATTTCATCTTGGGCTAGAAAAAGGGGCTGTCGGTGTGCTATCATTCAAAACATCATTCTGAAATCACATAGTGAACCAAGAACAGAAAACCGGCAGAGAAGCTATGACAGCAGGAATTGTGGTTGAGAATCCAACTTAGAGAGTGAGACTGATTGGACTTCAAATACAGGCACAATATTCTGGTTATTTTGGAAAGGCTAATTAACTTCTCTGGCTTTCTTTTCTTCAACTGTAAAATTGGGTTCAGAATTATCTAAGTTGGGGTTATTGTGAGGATAAAATGAGAACAATTAAGGGGCACCTGGGTGTTTCTGTGGGTTAAGCATCCAACTTTAGCTCAGATGATGATCTCGTGGTTTGTGGGTTCAAGCCCCACATCAGGCTTTGCGCTGACAGTGCAGAGCTTGCTTGGGATTCTCTCTCTCCCTGTCTCTCAAAATATATAAACTTAAAAAAAAAAAAAAAAGAACAATTTATTGGTGTCAATAATAAACGTCATATTGCATCTTTCTATAGCCATCCTTTCTTTGGTGAACTAACTTCAGGTTATCTCTAGGAGATCGGTTCTCATCAGTTCTGAAACTGATGCCACAGGAAAATAATTGAAGTGGCTGCTGTGGTGTAGTGGAAAGAACTCCAGATTTGGGAACCAGAAAATTTGGCCTCAAGTCATGAATGTCACCCTTTGTGACCATGAAACCTCTTAAGCCTCTGTCTCTGTAAAATGGGACAGCAGCATCTATCTCATAGAGTTGCTCTGAATTTTAAATAAGTTAATAAATGCAAGTGCTTAGCATGGGTAGAAATGTTGGTTTGTTATTATTCTCAGCATAATTGGGAAGTACAACTGAAAATGATAAAGCAGTGCTTCCCAAACTTCAGTCACTCTCGTTCCATGGTTATGATTTTTGTCTTATTTAGCACTTCTACTCTTAAAAAGTTAGTATTTTTTACGTGTCAACTTTTTCTACTTACATGTTTTAAAATAAATATCGAAATTGCCAACCAATGGAAAAACAGTATTAGTTGCCACAAATAGAACTTTTAACATAAATACAATGAAAACAAAATTTAATAAATTTTAGCTAGATACCACTGCCTGTGGAAAGTTCTGAGTCTGAGGCTTGCTCTTTCTTAAAATGGGAGATTAATAAGTGTTACAGAAGTGTTAAAGAAACAGCAACATTTACCTGGGACGGTCTCTGAAAATAATCACAACGATTGGCTGGAAAATGTTTTTTATTTTAATATGGAGGGGGCACACGTCTAGATTCCTAAAATCATCTCAAATTACCTCTCCCCACAGATAAATACTGTAATGAAGCACATGAGTAACAAGTTGCCTCTATTCTTGGAAGGGAAATGATAATTACAATCCCTCACATCTCTATGGCAGTTTTACATTTGCACAGCACTTGGTTACTTAATCTTAGCTGACCACCACAGTAGTTTGGTAAAACGGGTAGTATAAACACACCCACCTTTTATATAGTTCATAGATAAGAGGGTTAGCGACTGGCCTAACAACATTAACAGCAACAATTTTTTTGAGCACTTAATACGCCCCAAGCCCCTTACTAAAGGCTTTGTAGCCTTCATATAAAAGTTAATCCCCACGCCTGCTCTGAGGCATGTTCCGTTATCCTCATTTTACAGATGACGAAAGTGAAACACAGAAGCAACACAGCCAAGGTCACCCAGCCAGAGGGAGCGCGATGTGAACCCAGACAAACTGATAAAACCCCTGTACTTTCTTGCCCAAGGTCACGGGGGAGTGAGGCCGCCGGAGAGGGAAGGCGCTGACCTGTCGGAGACTTGTTCCTGGGTGAGCTTCTTGTCACTCTGCAGCAGGATGGACACGTAGTGGCGGATCATGCCCACAAAGAAGGTGATAATAACGATGGGCAGGACCACCCAAAGGCGGATGTTGGAGTCGAGCAGCAGCTCTGGCCCCGCCATCTCACAGAGAGCCTGCTCCCACCAGGTGTAGCCGGGTTTCTTTTCCCCGAGGTACGGAAGTCGCTCTTCGATTTCGCCTCCCGGCCTTCTCCCGCCTCTCAGCCTGGCTGGCCCCAAACCCTACTCCGGCCTCGGCCCTCGCGCACTGCCCCAGCCGGGCCGCCCGGCCGCGCACTTCCGGCGCGGATGTTTTGCGTCACGGTGAGGCGAGCTTTGGTGGCGTCAGCGTGGCGTAGCGCCGGGCGCGCAAGTCGAAAACGAGGGGCGGAGACGGCTTCTCCGCCGGTGAGAGGAGTCGCGGTCGTCGTCTCTCGAGGCTTCGCGGTCGTCGTCTCTCGAGGCTCCGCGCGTCTGTGGTCTGGTCGCTAGGTCCCGGCCGAGTCCGGCCTTTCCTTCTGGGGCTCCGCGCCCCGAACGTCGGCCTCCTCATCTGCCCTGTCGTGGAATTTAGCCCCCCAGGTACCTCCCTGCGTCGTTAAAATAACAAAATGAGAAAGGCTTTTACCCCCAACTCGTTTCCGAAAGACTTAGTCCAGACGGCTGGCCCAGCCCACCAGTCTGTCCTGGCTTCTCTGGAAAGGAGGCATGTTATGGGCTTGCGCCCTGATGTCAGACGGCCATGATTTACCTTAATTTTTCTGTCTATAAAATGGCTGATAATGGTTATAGATACTTCACGAGGCAGCGGATGAAGAAAACGCTTAGCAGGGTGCGTGGTAGTTAGTAAATGTTCACTATTTTTGGAAGACATCGTTCTAATTAAGAGTGAGTATCGGTGGTAGGTAGTGCGGATTCTGGAGTCAGACTGCCTTAGGATCCCATTTATGCCACTGAAGGAGAATAATAATGGTACCTCTCTCCAAAAGGTTAGTGAGTTGTGAGGTATTCATTATAAAGCACTTAAAATCGTTCTTGTTAGTTATTAATATTTACTTGTCTGCCAGCCATTCTCATTTAGCGAATATTTCCCGAAATTTTATTCCAGGTACTGTGCTAGGCACTGGGGATGCTGAGATAAGTCATTCCGGGTTCCTGTTGTGAAGGAGCCCTGCAGTCTAATGTGATGTGGTAGGGGATCCTAGATACACTCTGTGGAACAGGGAAGCTGGAGTTGCAAACCCCCTTGGGGATAGGAGGAACATTTTTCAAGGAAGATGACATTTGGCCATGTCTTTCAGGATTAGTAGTTTCCAAGCAGAGAGGAGCGTTTCAGGTGAAAAAAAACCTTATGCAAAAGTGCTGAGACCAGGAATGTTCTGGTTTATGAGAGACACTAGGAGGCCCTTAATGTGGTTCAGGCCCTCCCCTACCTCTGCAGTTTCATTTATTCTTTGTTTTTTTTTTATGCTTATTTATTTTTGAGAGCGAGAGTGGGAGAAGCGTGAGCGGGGGAGGAGCAGAGGGGGGACACAGAATCTAAGCAGGCTCCAGGCTCTGAGCTGGCAGCACAGAGCCCGATGTGGGCCTTGAACCCATCAACCATGAGATCATGACCTGAGCCGAAGTCAGATGCTTAACCCACTGAGCCACCCAGGCACCCCTCTGCGGTTTCATTTCTGACTACAAGCTCCTTACTTGTTCACTGTTGAGTTTTTCTCTGCCTGGACTACTCTTCTCATACATCTTCTATTGGTAATCTCCTGTTTCAGCCTTCAGGTCCCTGCTTTAATACCATTTTCTCAGATGATCCCTGAGAAATTGTCCCAGCTTTTCTTCATCTCCCCATACCCATATCTAGACTAAATGTCCATGTAAGCCCTCATAGCACCCTGTACTTTTGTAGCACTTACACAATGTAGTGAAGTAACTACATCAAGACCATTCATTACTATAATTTAAATTCCCCGAGGGCAGGGATCATGTCTTGTTCACAATTGTAACCCCAGCACCTGGGACAGTCTCCAACATATAATCCTGTATTCATGAGTTAAAGGAGATGGTAGATTGGGGGTAGATGATGAAGGATCTCGAATGTCAGAAAGAGAACTGGGTTTTATCCTTCAGCAGGAAGAAAGTGGTCTGGCTATAGAGGCAACTAGGTAAAGTCTTGAAAGCAGGGGAGTATTGACCAGATACAGGAGTTGAAATTCTCTCAGCACCTGGATTTAGACAGTATTAATGTAAAGACTTCTTTGGTATAGAAGTGTAGAAGTTCTTTGGCTTTTGATAGAGTAGTTTTCTTTGAGCTATAGCTTTGACTTTTCAGGATTTATCTGGCTTCTAGAGGGTAACTTCTACCCTCTGACTTTGCTCTCAAAAGTAATTTAATTGCAGAAGACTTCGGTCAGAATGGTTCCCAAGAGAAGGCCGTCAAAATTGGAGGATAAAGAAAGCCTGACAGAAGAGGCTTCCAGTAAGTATCTAGTTATTTGTTGTTTTATTTCCTATAACAAATGTGTGAGGCACTTACAGAGAAAGTTCCTCCTTTCAAGCTGGGAATCATCACAACTTAATGGTTAGAACACACAGAATCTGGTATCAGGAGATTTGGGATTGAGTTTCTGCCTCTGATTCCATGTATGATTTTGGGCATGCCCACTGTCTCTGAGCTTCTGTCTCCACATCCCTAAGAGGAATGAGTATTATAGAGCTCATCTACTTACATCATCTAGATGGTGAGAAAAAGGTACAACATAGTCTGTATCCTTTAAACTTGTGGTCCCCTTTCCTCCCTTAAAAGAAATTATGGGTGCATCTGCCTTGCTCAGTCAATAGAGTGTGTAACTCTTGGTCTCGGGGTTATGAGTTTGACCCCCCCCCCCATATTGGGTGTAGTAGAGACTGCTTAAAAGTAAAATCTTAAAAAAATTACAATACAGATAGACTGATGTATGAAGGAAAGGCATCATATCAAAGCAAACACATTAAGGGTGAAGAAACAGTGTAAATTCTGTCCATATGAGAATGTGGTGGACAGAGGCCCTAAGAGTTCTCATGAAAAGAGGTTGATTGTCTTTTCATTTATTATACTCATCTACTCTGTTAAGGTAGTTGTAACTTGTTACATCATTAAAGGAGAAGAATAAATAATCATACTTAATTTCAAGTATCTGTTTGTTTTGTTTACCATTATTTAAATTTATTTGTTTGTTTTGAGAGAGAGAAAGGGAGAGAACTCGAGCAGGAGAGGGGCAAAGAGAGAGAGGAAGAGAATCCCAAGCAAGCTCTGCAGTATCAGCACAGAGCCTGATGCGGGGTTGAACTCTTGAACCATGAGATGGCCTGAGCTAAAATCAAGAGTCGGACACTTAACTGACTGAGCCGCCCAGGCGCCCCATTTATTATGTTTTATTACTTCTCTTGGGTTGAAAACCTTGGGATAAAACCACTCTGGGCTTTGTACTCAAAGGCTTGATGCAGGAGAACCTGCCTGATGCTTTCTACCCCTGCATCAAGTTGCGTGCATCAAGATTATTACCTCCTGGAGAACTTTTTTTTGAGACAGAGAGAGACAGAGCATGAATGGGGGAGGGTCAGAGAGAGGGAGACACAGAATCCGAAACAGGCTCCAGGCTCCGAGCTGTCAGCACAGAGCCCGACGCGGGGCTCGAACTCACAAATTGCGAGATCATGACCTGAGCCGAAGTCGGCCACTTAACCAACTGAGCCACCCAGGCGCCCCCCTCCTGGAGAACTTTTTAAAATTCACACGCCCAGGACCCATACCTGAGATTTTAATTGAGTAACTATGGGATGTGACCTAAGAATGCACTTTTTTTTTTTTAATGTTTATTTACTTTTGAGAGACAGAGCACAAGAAGGGGAGGGACAGACAGAGAGGGAGATATCGATTCTGAAATAGGCTCCAGGCTTTGAGCTGTCAGTGCAGAACCCAATGCAGGGCTGGAACTCACAAACTGCAAGATCATGACCTAAGCTGAAGTCAGACGCTCAACTGACTGAGCCATCCAGGTGCCCCTTTAAGTTTATTTGAGAGAGAGAGAGCATGCACATGCAGGGGAGGGCAGAGAGAGAGAGAGAGAGAGAAAGAGAAAGAGAAAGAATCCAAGCTAGGCTCTGCACTGACAGCACAGAACCCAATGGGGCTCGATCCCGCTAATCGTGAGACCATGACCTGAGCTGAAACCAAGAGTCAGATGCTTAACTGACTGAGCCATCCAGGTGCCCCAAGAATGTGCTTTTAATAAGCTTCTTAGTGATTCCAGTGCAGTGGTTTGCAAACAACAGTTTGAGGCACCCTGACTGCTTTAGAATTTGGGTGATTAAACAGTTCCATGGTTATTTTTATTAGAAGTGGCATGTTTTGAATTCTCCAAATCAAAATGCAATAGATAAAAATAATTCTATTTATTGTTTTATTTGTATGCCACTATGTCTGACCATTGTTAGAGATAAAATTTTACTATAGCATCAATTTCAACATAATTCTTCAAGAACCCATCAACTTTCCTTTTAGGGTTATTCTAAAGTTTACATTTTTGGGGCGCCTGGGTGGCTCAGTTGGTTAAGCGTCCGACTTCAGCCAGGTCACGATCTCGCAGTCCATGAGTTTGGGCCCCGCGTCAGGCTCTGGGCTGATGGCTCAGAGCCTGGAGCCTGCTTCCGATTCTGTGTCTCCCTCTCTCTCTGCCCCTCCCCCGTTCATGCTCTGTCTCTCTCTGTCCCAAAAATAAATAAAAAACGTTGAAAAAAAAATTTTAAAGTTTACATTTTTTAATCTTTACTGTTTGTCACATTCTTGAAAATTTTGTTTGTTTTCAGAAGCCAGCCAGCCACTTTCCAAGAAGACAAAGAAGTCTCATATTCACAATGAAGTGGAAGAAAACGACAATGTTTTTATAAAGCTTCTTAAAACATCAGGAGTTATTCTTAAAACAGGAGAGAGTCAGAATCAACTAAGTAATATTTTAATTTAAATCTTTTCTCTGGGTTTGGTGCAGGGCTCAGCACTGAATCATGGATTTTCAAAATAGAGGCAGTGAAGATTAAAAATAGAAGTATTGTCTTTCTTGAGACAAAATTAACGTTGAAATTGCTTTTTAGAGAATATTGTTATAGTTTTTGGTTCTGACTAATGCATGTTAAGTAAAGTAATTCTAATTTTTTTTAGAAAAAATTATATACTTGTATTACTTTGTGTTTTATTGTGGAAAAATAAATTAATACTCGAGAGTAATTAGATCTGTGTCAGAATAATTTCAAACGAAAATTTATAAAGCCATGTAAAGCCCTGCTTTTAGGGCATAGATTACTTTATTCTGCTAAGATTATGGCATATCTTTTTTGGTACACTTAATAGCTATCCTCTATCAGAGCTAAATCTGTTTTACGATGGGTTTAGAAAATTTAGCTCTGAAATTAGGTTGAAAATATCTTTATTGGCTTCATCAGGCAGGAAACATAGGTCTTTAGGAAAGTAAAAGTATAGTGGGAGATATTAAAGATTCTGGTGACCATCTGTTTTTTTCCTCATAGCTGTGGATCAAATTGTTTTCCAAAAGAAGCTCTTTCAGACTCTGAGGAAACATCCTTCTTATCCCCAAGTATGTGTTTCTTCCTGGTACTTTTGCTTTTTCCAGCACTACTCTGGAATTGGGGATTTAAAGATGCAGGCATAGGGGTGCCTGGGTGGCTCAGTCAGTTAAGTGTCCGACTTGGGCTTGGGTCTTGATCTCAACGGTTAGTGAGTTTGAGCCCCACATCGGGCTCTGTGCTGGGAGCTCAGAGTCTGAAGCCTGCTTCAGATTCTGTCTCCCTCTGTCTCTGACCCTCCCCTGCTCACACACTCTCTCTCTCTGTGTCAAGAATAAACGTTAAAAAATTAAAAAAAAAATAAAGATGCAGGCATAAAGTTGAATGGGCTAGAATGATTTTTAGTTAATCTACAGCAAATGTTAAACTAAAAATCTTAACTCTTAACCTTTTTTTTTTTCAATGTCATTAAGATAATAGAAGAATTTGTTAGTGGCCTGGAATCCTACATCGAGGACCAAGACAGTTTCAGGAACTGCCTTTTGTCTTGTGAACGTCTGCAGGATGAGGAAGCCAGGTATGGAGTGGAGGCATAGAATCTTGCTGAAGTTTAAGCTGTTAACGCTAACCAAATTGCGGGTTGGGGATGAGGGGAGAATGCATTTTTTTTGTAATTTCACTTTATTTTTATAACCCTTTTTTTTGGGGGCACCTGGGTGGCTCATTGGTTGAGTGTCCCACGTGGTTTTGGCTTAGGTCATGGTTCCAGGGTCATGGGATCAAGCCCTGCGTTGGGCTCCATGCTGAACATAAAGCCTGCTTGAGATGCTTTCTTTCAGTCTGCCCCTCTTCCTCTTTCTCTCAAAAAAAAAAAAGAAGAAGAAGAAGAAAAAGCAACTCTTTTTTTCTTCAGTTTTAACCTAACCTTTAAATTATTAATTTATGTTTATGAGACTAAGAGCCAGGGTGTGTCTCATCTGTGTTGATAAAATTTTAACTAAGAGCCTGGTTTAAGAGCCATCTTCTCATGTTCTGTATTTCTGGTATAAGAGGATAGTTTCTTTTTAAATATGGTATATTTAACCAATTTTATGAAGAAAAGATGGTAAAAGTATTAAAACAGGGAAAACAGAACAGAAAACGAATGTCTTTTTTTTTTTTAACAGCATGGGCGCATCTTATTCTAAGAGCCTCATTAAATTGCTTCTGGGAATTGACATATTACAGGTGAGACTGTGCCACATTTTCTGTGAACAATAGATGGATGTGATTTGTGGTGTATGCCCAAGTATAAATGGCATAAAGGGTCAGGTAGGGTTAATCGGAGAGTTTGGGTTTGCAGTAGTTTACCATAGCCCTGTTGCAGAAATATATCTGGTAAGCCAATATCTGCAGCTTTGGACTGAGCTAATTTAATTAGCTCAGTACATTTCTTTAAAATATTCTATATTCCCTCAGCCTCTGATTCTTGATTTGTAAAGCTTCCTCTTGTGTGTCTGTGTACCTTATATATCTCTGCCATATTCGTCTCCTATATAGGTTTTTATTTGCTTATTAACTTGATTTACCCTTTTCCTCCTCTCTTTTAATATGTTGAGTGGATAATGCTTTGACATGTTTTAAATGTTTCACATTATAAAAACATATACAGTGGAAATTCTTGGTTTACCCTGTCCTCCATTTTTTTCTCTTTTTTTCTTTCCCACTGCTAATCTTCCCACACTCATATCCCATCCTTCTCTTTGGAAATCTTCAGTATAATTTAGTTAGATTAAATTTAAGAGCCCTCTTGTTCCTCTGGAGTGAAATCTTCTCTTTTTGCAAACTGTTGGATAATTTTTTAAGTCTGCATTTCATGAACTAACAGTTGTCATCATATTTAATAATATTATCTGATTATTTTAATACTGCTTAAATCATTTTGCAATTTTTTTTAAAGATACATTAATGACAAGTCTTTGTATTTCAACAACTTATATTCGAGATATAGCCAGCATTCAAGTGGCCATTCTTAAAATGAGATTTTAATTATACCAGAGTTGTTCCTCCCAGTGCTCTTGTTGGAGCACATTATGGCTAATTATATATTTCTGTTGTATATTTCAAGACCATCTCCTAACTCCTTATGTCTTCTTTTTCAGCCTGCCATTATCAAAACCTTATTTGAAAAGTTGCCAGAATTTCTTTTTGAAAAGTAAGTGGAATTACTCTGGAATGCTTAAATTACTTTTGTGTATTTAAGTTTCTCTCTGAAAAGATTACTGTGAAACATTGGTTTCTCTAAAAGTCATATTGATCGTGACACCAGATTCTTAAGTGACTACTAAGATTTTACTGAGGTATATTTTGAAAAAAATGTAATCTGTTTATATGACTGTGTGTTCCTAGAAGGATATACCATAAACTGGTAATAGTTGTCTCCAAGGAGAGGAGCCAATTGCTTGGTGTCAGATGTTCTATGAATACCATTCTTTACCTTTTCAATTTTATGGTGTATGTGTGTGACTTTTTTTTTTTTTAATTAACAACCTAATAGAAAAGTAGAAAAAGGTCACAAATAGATAATTCACAAAGAAATACAAGAGTGTCAAACATTTTTTTAAATACTCAGTTTCACATTTAAAAAAAATAAAAAGTGGGGGATGTGCCTGGGTGGCTCAGTCAGTTAAGTGTCCGACTTGAGCTCAGGTCATGATCTTGTGGTTTGCAAGTTTGAGCCCCGCGTGGGGCTCTGTGCTGACAGCTCAAATCCCGGAGCCAGCTTCAGATTCTGTCTTCCTTGCTCTCTGCCCCTCCCTCACTCTCCCCCTTTCATGCTCTGTCTCTCTCTCTGTCAAAAATAAACACTGAAGGGGGCGCCTGGGTGGCGCAGTCGGTTAAGCGTCCGACTTCAGCCAGGTCACGATCTCGCAGTCCGTGAGTTCGAGCCCCGCGTCAGGCTCTGGGCTGATGGCTCAGAGCCTGGAGCCTGCTTCCGATTCTGTGTCTCCCTCTCTCTCTGCCCCTCCCCCGTTCATGCTCTGTCTCTCTCTGTCCCAAAAATAAATAAATGTTGAAAAAAAAAATTAAAAAAAAAAAATAAAATAAACACTGAAAACAAATTAATGCTCAGTTTCATTAATAATCAAAAATACAAATTTAAAACAATAAATACATTTTTTTCCACTCTCAAAGAATCTTTGTTATTCAGTGTAATGAACAGTCATGCTTGTACATTACTAATGAACATAATAAACTGGTTGAAGTCATTCTGAAGGGTATTAGGTTGTGTGTATCAAAACCTTCCTTAGATTTTGCATACTCTTTTTTTCTTTAATTAAAAAACATTTTTTTTTAATGTTTATTTATTTTTGAGAGACAGAACATGAGCAGGGGAGGGGCCGAGAGAGAGGGAGACAAAGCAGGCTCCAGGCTCTGAGCTGTCATACAGAGCCCAATGCGGGGCTTGAACCCACGAACCATGAGATCATGACCTGAGCCAAAGTCGGATGCTTAACCGACTTGAGTTACCCAGGCGCCCCTACTTTCTCGTTTTTAATGTGTGTTTTTTCTTTTTTTTTCTTGAAGTTTGTTTATTTTCAGAGAGAGAGTGAGACAGAGGGAGCAAGCAGGGTACAGGCAGAGAGAGAGGGAGACAGAATCCCAAGCTGATAGCGTGGAGCCTGACATGGGGCCTGAAGCCACATACTGTGAGATCATGACCTGAACCAAATTCAAGAGTTGGACACTTAAGCAACTGAGCTACCCAAGCACCCCTAATATGTGTTTTTTCTAGGCCTTGTATATAACAATGATAATAATAATAATAGTAAACTTACAGATAGTTCTTTACAAATTTGTGCTTTGCCTGAATGGCTCACACTAGTTGCTTTATGTCTTTTTCAGCAGTTACATTTGACTGCACTAAACAAACATTGAGAACACTGTCAAGGAAAGGAATGGAAGGTTGTCCAAAACTGTAGACATAGGAGATTGAGGAAGGCAGAGACTGTCATTTGGGGGGAAATAATAATAAGTGAGCCAGAATTTCTTCATCTATAAATGATTTTCAGTACTTTTACATAATCCAGTTTGACCTTCTGTGTTTCCAAAGCACAGTGCTTGCTTTTATTGGTGCTTATCATAGTGATGTATTTAATATTCTACCTTTTAAAAATATTCTTGGGGCTGTGTGGCTCAGTCGATTAGGTGTCCAACTGTTGATTTCAGCTAAGGTCATGATCTCACAGTTTGTGGAATTGGCACTGCATCTGACTCTGCGCTGACAGTGCTGACAGCATAGAACCTCCTTGAGGTTCTCTGTCCTCCTCTCTCTCTGCCACAACGCCCCCCCCCCCACCGCCTCAAAATAAATAAATAGGGGCGTATGGCTGTCTCTGTCGGTTAAGCACCCGACTTCAGCTCAAGTCATTATCTCATGGTTTGTGAGTTCGAGCCTCAAATGTGGCTCTCTGCTCTGAGCTTGGAGTCCACTTTGGATCCTCTGTCTGTTTCTCTCTCTACCCCTCCCCTGTGTTTCTCTCTCAAAAATGAGGAAGCATTAAAAAATAAATATAAATAAATAAATAAAAATATTCTTCTTACTCAGTTTATTCAAATTTATCGCCTTGATTTTTTTTGTTTATGTTATTATTAAGAAATACTCTACAGACCTTTTTTTTAAAGTTTTTTTAACTTTTTTTTTCTTTTTTTCTTTTTATTTTTGAGAGAGAGAGAGACCGAGTGTGAGTGGGGGAGGGGCAGAGAGAGAGGGACACACAGAATCCGAAGCCGGCTCTAGGCTCTGAGCTGTCAGCAAGAGCTTGATGTGGGGCTTGAACTCACAGACTGTGAGATCATGACCTGAGCTGAAGTCAGTCGTCCAACCAACTGAGCCACCTAGGTGCCCCACTCTACAGACCTTTCTTAACCTTTCTTTAAATGCTCCCCAGATGCAGCTACTGTTAACAGTTTAGTGCATCTTCTTGGATCTTTCTCAACATATACGTCTCATGATTTTCTTGTATCATATGTATGTCTAACACAGCTTGTAATGTGTAAATGTTCAGTAAGTGTTCATTCAGTGTCTGAAATGTTTTGTGCAGTATTAAGGTTTGCTGTTGTGTAAGTCAGAAAGGCTCAGTTTCTGTCTTCTTGTCCTAACATTTCAGTGTGAACAGTGATGGACTTAACATGCCCAGACTCATCATCAGTCAGCTGAAATGGCTTGACAAAATTGTGGATGGCAAGGTAGGCTTTGGGACTTGTTCTGTCTCTTAGATTTAGAAAGTCTGTTTTCCAAATTTAACCAAACTTTTGGAATTGCAGGGTTTTTTTTTCTTAACTGAAAATTCACATTTTTCTGTTTATTTGTTAGCTTTTTTCTCCTGTCATAATTTGAGAATCATGGATATTTCACCTTTTAAATTTCTCCAAAATTTTTTTTTCTAATTATGATGAGTAGATATCATCTATTAAATAAATTGAAAGAATTGAAAAGAAGTTAAGTAGCTGTCCAAAGTTGAGAGATTACTATGTTTTATTTCTCAAAAGGTATGAGATCCCACACCAGCCTACCGCACTGTAAATATTTAATTTGATTGCATATGAGGAAAGTTTTAGAAAGTTTTTGCAATTAATGTGAATTATTATTAAGCACCTTGGTAAAATTGGATCTTTTTTGAGCCTAGGGTTAAGGCCGATTTCTTTTCAGAATTCATTAATTCATTCTATTAATTTTTGTCAGACATTCTAAGGCTAAATCTTTATTTGGAAGAACATGAGTTTTAGAATCTCCTGTGGGCTAGAATTTTGGGTCTGTCACTTTTTGTGTGTCTTTGAACAGCACATATCCTCACATTTTAAAAATGGGAACTATCGGTGTACCTGGCTAGCTCAGTCAGTAAAGGGTGCAACTCTTGATCTCTGGATCATGAGTTCAAACCCCACGTTGGGCATGGAGCCTACTTAAAAAAAAAAAAAAATGTAAAACACGGGGGCGGTGGAATTGTCACACAGACTCCAGAGTTGTGAAGATTAAATGAAGTAAAGTATATAACAGACCCATTAGATAATATAGTATCCACTGTACTTTTTTTTTAATGTACCATCCCATGTGTGAAAATTCCTGGGTCATTTACCTCTCCATTTAGGCTTTGAGTTTATGTCTAGGTGTCATATGATACACAAGATAATTTCAGCTATACATTTAATGAGGAGGAAGTCTTTCTCTGTTCTTGGTAATGTGCAACAGTTCTAATGGCCTCTTCCACTGCAGGATCTCACCACCAAGGTCATGCAGCTGATCAGTATTGCTCCACTGTACCTGCAGCATGACTTTGTTACCAGCCTACCTGAGATCCTAGGGGATTCCCAGCATGGTGATGTGGGGAAAGAACTGAGGTGAGTAAGTTCCCATTCTGGCAGCCTTATTGCTGCAGTATGAAACAGTAGTGGTAACATATTGATGGCATCTACCTTCCATGAACAGGTATGGGATTTGACTTGTTTTTGTAATAATGAGTATATATTTGATGCATAAAGTAGACCCATCTACTTTTTTTAAAGTGGTATACCTGTTGTGAATATGAAGTCTGGGTTATGATTAGGCGTATAAACATAATCCCTTTGTTTTGTTAGCGTATCTTCCACCCAAGGAGTCCTCACTTGTGACTGCATGTCCCAATCATTTGTGGAGCTTATCAAACATCCATATATTCTTTGGTCCCTAAATGATTCATTCTGATGTACATCACATCAGACCCAGTGTTGAGAGCATTGCTTACTATCATTTATGTGAAAAATAGTAATTGGTAGGGCAGTGATTAAGGAAGGGAGAACACTATTCCTATGTAATAGGGTTTCTGTTTTAATGCAATTTCTTGCTTATCCTTGAAATAGTTTTTAAAAATTCAATTTGTAATACTTCCTTTTCTTTAGATGTCTGCAAAGCTACCTCTAGAAATGTCCAGTGATTGCTTGCCTTTGTGTTTTTGGGCAGTATGCTCCCTCTGGGTATAGCACTATACCATCCACTTGGCCTGCTTAATTCCAGCTTGTCGTTCTGCATAGCCTTTTCTTAGAATCCATCATTGTTCTCTACTCTGCTCCTGTAGCACCCTGCATGTATATCTATCCTACTTGCCATACTTCATTGTAATTGGTGTAGGTTTTCTTCTTCTTCTTCTTCTTCTTCTTCTTCTTCTTCTTCTTCTTCTTCTTCTTCTTCTTCTTCTTCTTCTTCTTTTTGCTTTATTATTATTTTTTTAAGTAGGCTCCATGCCCATTGTGGAGTTTGAACTTACTGAGATTGAGAGTCATGTGCTCTAGCAACCTAGCCAGCCAGACACTCCTGTTGTAGGTTTTCTTTTTCCTTTTCTCAGGAAGGATATGTGCCAAACTCAGTAGTAGTTACCTCAGGGTACTAGAGATGGTGAGGAAGAGCTTCTTGTTTGTACTCTGTTGTTTGAATTTTCTGTAATGAGCATGTATTTTTTAAAAATCAAAACAATTTTTAATGAAATAAACTGTAAACAAATTCAGTGGAAACAAAGTGTATCTTCTCTTCCCATTCTCTGAGTGATTTTTCTAAGTAATTATCTGCCCAGCTCTGTTAAAAGCTGCATAGATTTTCTCTTTTTCCACTATTCACAGTGACCTTTTGATGGAGAATACTTCACTCACTGTTCCTATCTTGGATGTCCTTACCAGCCTCCGACTTGACCCAAAGCTCCTGTCTCAGGTAGGAAGGACCGTGCTGTACAGAAACAGAGCCCACTTTCTTGCCTCCCAGAACCAGTGTCAGTCATTGCCTTGAAGCAGTCATACATGAAAATTTGATTTTGAAACAATATTGAATGATATTTCATCTCTTTTTTCTCTTTTTGATGAATTTCATTTGCCATAGTATGATGGATTCACTTTTCTGTTTTAAAGCAGTAAGTTTTAATGGATATCTTCTATTTTGCATAATATTTGTGCACTGCTCTCCATAGGAATAATATTTTTACGTGTCTTCCTCCAGCTAGTGGAAAATTTAGGCTCTAAATTGTAAGATAACACTTTTACATTTATCACCTGTTTTTTTTTTTTTTAAT